GGGATGACATTGAGATGTTTCCTAGTGATGACATTGAGATGTTTCCCAGGGATGACATTGAGATGTTTCCCAGGGATGACATTGAGATGTTCCCCAGGGATGACATTGAGTTGTTTCCAATTGATGACATTGAGATGTTTCCCAGTGATGACATTTAGATGTTTCCCAGTGATGACATTGAGATGTTCCCCAGGGATGACATTGAGATGTTTCCCAGGGATGACATTGAGATGTTTCCCAGTGATGACATTGAGATGTTTCCCAGTGATGACATTGAGATGTTTCCCAGTGATGACATTGATATGTTTCCCAGTGATGACATTGAGTTGTTTCCAATTGATGACATTGAGATGTTTCCCAGTGATGACATTTAGATGTTTCCCAGTGATGACATTGAGATGTTCCCCAGGGATGACATTGAGATGTTTCCCAGGGATGACATTGAGATGTTTCTCAGGAATGACATTGAGATGTTTCCCAGTGATGACATTGAGATGTTTCCCAGTGATGACATTGAGATGTTTCCCAGTGATGACATTGATATGTTTCCCAGTGATGACATTGATATGTTTCCCAGGGATGACATTGAGATGTTTCCTAGTGATGACATTGACATGTTCCCCAGGGATGACATTGAGATGTTCCCCAGGGATGACATTGAGTTGTTTCCAATTGATGACATTGAGATGTTTCCCAGTGATGACATTGATATGTTTCCCAGTGATGACATTGAGACGTTTCCCAGTGATGACATTGAGTTGTTTCCAATTGATGACATTGATATGTTTCCCAGTGATGACATTGATATGTTTCCCAGTGATGACATTGAGACGTTTCCCAGGGATGACATTGAGATGTTTCCCAGTGATGAAAATGAGATGTTTCCCAGTGATGACATTGAGATGCTCCCGAGGGATGACATTGAGATGTTTCCCAGGGATGACATTGAGATGCTCCCGAGGGATAACATTGAGATGCTCCCCAGTGTTGACATTGAGATGTTCCCCAGTGATGACATTGAGATGTTTCCCAGGGATGACATTGAGATGTTTCCCAGGGATGACATTGAGTTGTTTCCCAGTGATGACATTGAGATATTTCCCAGTGATGACATTGAGATGTTTCCCATTTATGGCATTGAGATGTTTCCCGTGGATGGCATTGAGATGGTACCCAGGGATGACATTGAGATGTTTCCCAGGGATGACATTGAGATGTTTCCCAGGAATGACATTGAGATGTTCCCCAGTGATGACATTGAGATGTTTCCCAGTGATGACATTGAGATGTTTCCCAGTGATGACATTGAGATGTTCTCAGGGATGACATTGAGATGTTTCCCAGTGATGACATTGAGATGTTCTCAGGGATGACATTGAGATGTTTCCCAGTGATGACATTGAGATGTTTCCTAGTGATGACATTGAGATGTTTCCCAGGGATGACATTGAGATGTTTCCCAGTGATGACACTCAGATGTTTCCCAGTGATGACATTGAGATGTTTCTCAGGGATGACATTGAGATGTTCCCCAGTGATGATATTGAGATGTTTCCCAGTGATGACATTGAGATGCTCCCGAGGGATGACATTGAGATGTTTCCCAGGGATGACATTGAGATGCTCCCGAAGGATAATATTGAGATGCTCCCCAGTGTTGACATTGAGATGTTCCCCAGTGATGACATTGAGATGTTTACCAGGGATGACATTGGGATGCTTCCCAGGGATGACATTGAGATGTTTCCCAGTGCTGACATTGAGATGCTCCCGAGGGATGACATTGAAATATTTCCCAGGGATGACATTGAGATGCTCCCGAGGGATAACATTGAGATGCTCCCCAGTGTTGACATTGAGATGTTCCCCAGTGATGACATTGAGATGTTTCTCAGGGATGACATTGAGATGTTTCCCAGTGATGACTTTGAGCTGTTCCCCAGTGATGACATTGAGATGTTTCCCAGTGATGACTTTGAGCTGTTCCCCAGTGATGACATTGAGATGTTTCCCAGTGATGACTTTGAGATGTTTCCCAGTGATGACATTGAGATGTTTCTCAGGGATGACATTGAGATGTTTCCCAGTGATGACATTGAGCTGTTCCCCAGTGATGACATTGAGATGTTTCCCAGTGATGACTTTGAGATGTTCTCAGGGATGACATTGAGATGTTTCCTAGTGATGACATTGATATGTTTCCCAGGGATGACATTGATACGTTTCCCTGTGATGACATTGATATGTTTTCCAGTGATGACATTGAGATGTTTCCCAGGGATGACATTGAGATGTTTCCCAGTGATGACATTGAGATGTTTCCCAGTGATGACATTGAGATGTTCCCCAGTGATGACATTGAGATGTTTCTCAGTGATGACATTGAGATGTTTCTCAGTGATGACATTGATATGTTTCCCAGTGATGACATTGAGATGTTTCCCATTTATGGCATTGAGATGTTTCCCAGGGATGACATTGAGATGTTTCCCAGTGATGACATTGAGATGTTTCCCAGTGATGACATTGAGTTGTATCCCAGGGATGACATTGAGTTGTATCCCAGTGATGACATTGAGATGTTTCCCATTTATGGCATTGAGATGTTTCCCAGGGATGACATTGAGATGTTTCCCAGGGATGACATTGAGATGTTTCCCAGTGATGACATTGAGATGTTTCCCATTTATGGCATTGAGATGTTTCCCAGGGATGACATTGAGTTGTATCCCAGGGATGACATTGAGTTGTATCCCAGGGATGACATTGAGTTGTATCCCATTTATGGCATTGAGATGTTTCCCATTTATGGCATTGAGATGTTCCCCATGGATGACATTGAGATGTTTCCCAGTGGTGACATTGAGATGTTCCCCAGGGATGACATGGAGATGTTCCCCAGTGATGACATTGAGATGTTTCCCATTTATGGCATTGAGATGTTTCCCATTTATGGCATTGAGATGTTCCCCATGGATGACATTGAGATGTTTCCCAGTGGTGACATTGAGATGTTCCCCAGGGATGACATGGAGATGTTCCCCAGGGATGACATTGAGATGTTTCCCAGGGATGACATTGAGATGCTCCCCAGTGATGACGTTGAGATGTTCCCCAGTGATGACATTGAGATGTTCCTCAGTGATGACATTAAGATGTTTCCCAGGGATGACATTGAGATGTTTCCCAGGGATGACATTGAGATGTTTCCCAGGGATGACATTGAGTTGTTCCCCAGGGATGATATTGAGATGTTTCCCGGTATTGACATTGAGATGTTTACCAGTGATGACGTTGAGATGTTCCCCAGTGATGACATTGAGATGTTCCTCAGTGATGACATTAAGATGTTTCCCAGGGATGACATTGAGATGTTTCCCAGGGATGACATTGAGTTGTTCCCCAGGGATGATATTGAGATGTTTCCCGGTATTGACATTGAGATGTTTACCAGTGATGACATTGAGATGTTTCCCAGGGATGACATTGAGATGTTCCGCAGGGATGACATTGAGATGTTTCCCTAGGGATGACATTGAGATGTTTCCCTAGGGATGACATTGAGATGTTCCCTAGGGATCACATTGAGATGTTCCCTAGGGATGACATTGAGATGTTCCCCAGTGATGACATGGAGATGTTTACCAGGGATGACATTGAGATGCTCCCGAGGGATGACATTGAGATGCATCCAGTGATGACATTGAGATGTTCTCAGGGATGACATTGAGATGCTCTCCAGTGATGACATTGAGATGTTTCCCGGTGATGACATTGAGATGTTTCCCAGGGTTGACATTGAGATGTTTCCCAGTGATGACATTGATATGTTCCCCAGGGATGACATGGAGATGTTTACCAGGGATGACATTGAGATGCTCCCGAGGGATGACATTGAGATGCTCCCCAGTGATGACATTGAGATGTTCCCCAGTGATGACATTAAGATGTTTCGCAGGGATGACATTGATATGTTTTCCAGGGATGACATTGAGATGTTTCCCAGGGATGACATTGAGATGTTTCCCAGGGATGACATTGAGATGTTTCCCAGGAATGACATTGAGATGTTTCCCTGGGATGATATTGAGATGTTTCCCAGGGATGACATTGAGATGTTTCCCAGTGATGACATTGAGATGGTACCCATGGATGACATGGAGATGCTCCCTAGGGATGACATTGAGATGTTCCTCAGTGATGACATTGATATGTTCCCCAGGGATGACATGGAGATGTTTACCAGGGATGACATTGAGATGCTCCCGAGGGATGACATTGAGATGCTCCCCAGTGATGACATTGCGATGTTCCCCAGTGATGACATTAAGATGTTTCGCAGGGATGACATTGATATGTTTTCCAGGGATGACATTGAGATGTTCCCTAGGGATGACATTGAGATGTTCCCTAGGGATGACATTGATATGCTCCCCAGTGATGACATTGAGATGTTCCCCAGTGATGACATTGATATGTTCCCCAGTGATGACATTGATATGTTCCCCAGTGATGACATTGAGATGTTTCCCAG